ACAGGCCCCAGCTGCCCTCCCATGGGCACTGCTGTGCCTCCATCAACAGCCATTTCCACCTGGGAGGTGGCTGAGGCCGCCTCCTGGGTCATCCAGCAGCGTCTCCAGCCCCCGAGTGCCCGGGGCAGAGCTCAGCGATGGCTGCGCTGCTGTTTCTGGGGGGCTCGCACGTGTTCTCCGGGCCCTGCTGGGGCTCCAGGCATCCGCCGGCTCTCTCCGGAGCTGAAGCCACTTGGGCTCTTGTCCCCACCCACTGGCTTTGTTCCCTGCCCTGAGGCAAGGGGGGGGGGGTCTGTGCACCCTGTAACACCCCACGAATGTAGGGAACAGTCTCTTTGCTCACCTCCCAGGAGCCTGTCTACAGCCAGGAGCAGCTCCCAGTCTGCAGCACACCTGCTTGCTGGGCAGGACTCCTGCCTCTCTGCCCTGGACCCGCCGACCCCCGTCCCGAACACACACGCAAGAGGCTCCGCGGCAGGACATCCTGCAATCGGTCGCCTCCCACAACAGCCCAAACGTTCAGGGGCAAGAACAAACTCTGGGAAAGATCTCGCTGGAGGACTGACGGCCCCTTCCTCCCCCACAGATCCGCAGCTCCCTGCCCCCCTTCCTTCTGGGCGACACGGCTCCGGTGCTTGAGAAACGCCCCGTGACCGAGCAGCCCCTCTGCCTCACCACGACGTCTGAAACACTGGCCCGGCGCAGCCACACCGTGCAGCCGCACGCAAGTTCCCGAAACTTTCCGCACCGTTTGCGTCAGGAGCGCCGGACGGCCGCTCCTCCCGGACACCAACACCGAATGGGCAGGGAGCTCTGGGCCAGCGCCCCTTGGGGAGAACACCCGGTGGCACTCGTCTGAACCCGGCAGCACGTACCCAGAGCGACCAGCCGTGGCAAGGCGCGTGGCAGGATGGAAGCGCCATTTTGACTGCGGGCTGGACGCGCATCAGTGGATAACGTGGCAAGAGCTGTTGTCCCCCTGCACCCCCGAGGCTCCGTGCGCAGCCCTGCGCCCCACTGCTTCAGAGCCTTCCATTCCGGGCGTGGCTGGTCCCCCAGCGGGGAGGCACCGCGGGCGGG